TGAGATGTGTTAATTATTGAAACTGTCCTACCAATTTGGTTTGAAACTGTCTCATTGCTATTTGTTTCTCAATAAAATTATGGGAAGAAAGATATACTCATAAGTGAAATAAACCAGACACACATGTATAAATATTGTATAGTTTCTCTAGTATAAGAACTCAAAAGAAGAAATACAAATAGAAAGGTATAATAAAAAATTCATTTTTAGATTCTAGGACTGCTATTAATTCTGTTTTGAGACCTATGAAGGCTATAGAACTAAAAGAAAACACTCATGTTCCAATAAGTACACATATATTAAGTCCTTTCTATAGTCCAGCAAAGCAGAAATTCTGTCCTAACAGTAGCCTTTTTGTTCATAAAGCTTCAGCCATTTTGTTCTCTGCTACTGAACTCAGGTAAATTACATGATTTGTCATCAAACTGAAACTTGCATGAATGTGCTAAAAACAAATTTACTACATACAACTATACTCACCACAAGATATCCATTGCATCATGGCCTTCAGCTAAAGCTTATCTAGCTTTTGTAGCTTCTATTTGCCACACTATGAAAAAGACAAACTCTGTGATCAGTGCCTCAGACTTTGGATATTATTAATTTCTTCTGAGCTATTGGCTACTGTTGACTCAATTCTCCCACAACTGCAACATTAGTACATTTGAGAGGAGAAGGGTTATAGCCTGCTCATTCCTGCCTGCTGTTGATTCATGGTCCTTTCTTCAGAGTCCATCAATGCATCTGTGTAACTCGTGTTCTGTATACATTCATGAAGTTCCACTACAGTGAACATATGAAAGAAATGTTGTATACTGCTTGTTAGCTCTGAAGAACTTGCAGACACCTTCAGTGGCTTAGAAGAGGAAGGGCTTACCAAATGAGAGTGGCACCAACAAAGTTCCGCTACTCTTTTCCCTGTTAGCAAGGACTCCAGAGATCAGAGAAAGGAAGAGAGAAAATGAGAAGGAGAGGAAGAGAAAGAGAGACATAGAGAGTCCGACAGGGATAGAGACTGAGACAAAGAGACAGAAAGACAGACATACAGAAAAAGAAAGAGAAACCATATTGGATGGGAAAAGGAATCTCTCCACCCATTCCAGCTATGCACTATGTCAAAGGATACATGAAGAGTATCTTAATATGAATAAGATGACAAACTGTGACCTTGACATCAAGATACTCACCCTAAACTTTAGAAGGCAGGAATATCAAAGACAGGAGTCTCAGCTAGACTAAATCCAATTTGAGATATTACCTCTGCTAGAACACTAGACACACACACACACACACACACACACACACAACACACACACACACACACACACACACACAAGGCCCAGTTCAGTACAGTAGAAAGAGAATGACTGGGAGCAGTCCTCTGCTGTATAACCATGCAGCTGCATGTTCACACTCAATATGCATAAAATCAGAGCCCATCAGACCAATTTTCACACACAGGCAACTGTCTTAATCTGGAGAAGGCAGGCTCAGGGATCTGGAACTTTTCTTGTATGTTCTGGTTAGTCTAACAACAGATGTTCATAAAAATGTGAAGAAAGATGAAGAAGAGCAAGCATTTGAGTAAGATTGAGCCCATAACTTTGTAAGTAGACCAGATGTTCTGATGAAAAATTGGAGAGAGACCAGCACAAGCAAACATACAACGTGTGACTCAAGCTGAAGCTGTAACTCTGCCTGAGCTATAGCCCAAAGAGTGTATCAGTACTCATACATTTATTTCAAAAGCCAATCATATACCCTTAGAAAAGGGACTGGAACTTATGGGTGTTAAAAAGCCAAAAGATATGCACTGTACTATCTTTTTCTGGTGCTAAGCTTATAGGATACTTGGCAAAAATAAGAAAATATTTCAACTTATCAAGCATATCATTACCATAACACATCCAAACCTACAGATTATGGATAGGCAATATGAACTTTTATACTATAGCTGAAGATAAAGTAATATAGTTTCATGCTTACTTCCATCTTCTGTCATGTATTATAATACATTAAAATTATATTATATACATTAGAATTATAGTACATTAGAAATACGTTCGAAGATCCAGTCCTAGCCCAGGCCTGCTGCAAAAAGGAGGAAGAACTGCCATTGTGTGGATGGACCTGCCAGAGGAGGAGAGAAGGTGGAGCAGCGCAGACCTGGGAGAGGCAACTGCAGTGACCCATTCACATGCCAGAGGGCTCCCTGGTGTGAAGTTGGGTTCACATCTGCTCTCCTAACACAAAGTAAATAAGGTTATATATGTGGAAACTATAAAAGATGAAAGGTGTAAGAAAATATATGATTATTATGTTTTACACATTATAATAAATTCATAGGAAAGTTTAAAAAAAGAAATACATTAGAAAATTCACCAAAACCTTTCAAACTCACATGTCCTCAAGTGGAATGTCCCTGAGGATCTGGCAGAAGTCAACATTCCATATAGCCTCATCATGCCAAGCTTTGCAGGAAAGGAGAATGGCTCCCAAGACAATCCTTTTCCAGTTAGTAGGACAGACATCCATGTCAGCATAAGATAAAAGCCTTTCTAAATAAATCTGCAGAGAGACCACTGTTCTGTGATTTTGGCTCTAAGCGCTATGTTAAGAATTTAACTGTTATGAATGATAGTTATGACCAGAAAGTGAAGTAACTTTTACTTTTGAGTACCACAGAATATTTTTTTCATCTAAAGTAAAAACATCAGGCCACAGTTGGAAATCGACATCTCTGCTGCCCATGTAAATTTACTGTTCCATTTTGATGGCAAAAATTCCTGGACATCTCAGCAAAGGTCATCCAGAAGAAAAGCACTATTATTCATGAAGATCCCAGACACAGGCTTGCCATAAAGTTGTTCAATAAATACTGAGTGCTCCAACATTCAATGTGGTAAACCCACCTGGCAGTTTTTAGAGTAGCTTTAGGTGTGTCATGGCCAAATGTAATACCCAAATTATTGCACGTTTTTATCTTCTTTGCTCAGTACTAACACTTCTGAGGCACTAGGTGAAGAACTTGTAAGACTGTCTTCCAGTGGCTGCTGAGCAGTGTAGTATGCCAAGCACAGGACTGTATAGTTGTAAAGTTTTCCCCAAACTCAGTGCCTTTATAAGAAACCCACGTGTGCAACAGGATGGTCCTTCTTACGAGATTACTCTTCCCACTACTCATGAAAATAAATTCTTTCTCTTGATATAACCTGCAACTTTGTTGATTTTGTTGGTTTTAGGGTAGGAATAACAGAGCTGACAAGATGTATCTCTCAGATACCTAAACTTCCAGGCTCTATGTGAGACAATATCATTCACTTTTTTTTTTTACCCACTCAAACAGTTATTCTACAAAGAACTGGGTGAACCTAACAATTTAGCAAAGATTACAGAGCTGTGATTTGTTTTGACTTTAAAGGGTGCCCTGCAGAGGAATATCCAGTCATCCATGGAGACAATTCAATCTTATTTTCTAGGCCAAAGCTGACACGAAAGACTGCAGATGCTTAAGTCCCTCGTATGAAATGGTAAAGTGTTTTCATATAACCTATGTATATCCTCCCACATAATTTAAATCATTTCTAGGTTACTTGAAGTACACAATTCAATGTAAATACCACATAAATGTTTTATATTATATTGGTAAACATTTCGGGAAAAGGAAGAAGACATATTTTTTTTCACCAAATGATTTCAATCCACTGTTGGTAGAAATTATAGGTGCAGAAATTTTGAACATGGAGGGGAGATCATGTATGCTATTTGAACTCTTTGTATCAAGACAAGAAAAGTGCCAGTTTTAAGAGAAAGTTGTCAGACCAGAAGTTCAGATTAGGTAATGTTCTGCAAATACAACTATTTTTCACTTCCCAAAACCTGCCCCTTCAAGTATTCAAAAGATGATCCTCTCTCATAGACTCAACACTTTTCTTTATAGGAGTGATTGAATGGCAGTGAACAAGTATCAGTTATTCCTCAACCTCTCTGTTATGGTTTGTGTTTAGATAGTCCCCCAAATACTCATGCAGTCATAGACTGGACTTTTTCAGAGGTGGTTATATCTAGAGTGCTTGTAGCTGGAGTTGATTCATGTTGCAATATTAAGATCAAGGGCACTAGAGTTAAGAGTGGGAGTGTTAACCATCTCAGTATCCTGGATAAGATAGAAGGAACAGAAAGAGCTGTAGTCATTCCTTGTTTGTTTTTCTACCTCCTGTCCACAGCCATGAACTGTGACTTCTCTGTGATGCCCCTTTGACATTCCTCCCTGCATTATACCCAACCAATTATGGAGTGAAGCTCTATGAACTGTGAGCCAAAGAAACCTTTTCTCCTTTAACTTTAGGTGTTGGATATTTTGCTTAAGCAACAAGAAACTATGAATTTAGGACCATAGAAATGAGGTTATTGCTCTGATGCTACATGTCCATGTCATTTAAGAGCCTTTAGGAATGGTTTATGGGAAGAGATTGCAAAGGTTTAGAGATGACAGCTAAAAGTACAGCTGAAATGGCTTAGGCT